TTCCTCTGTATTTTCGGAACTGGCGGAGACCGACAGACGCCCCGCAGCTAAAGGGGCAGCTGGGGGTTGCTCGGCACCAAGTCCGGGCAGGTGGATCCTGTTTAAAATCCCGCTTCTTCTGCCAAAAGGAGCTTCATGCGAATCGAGACAGGATGAAGCCCGTTACCAGCAGGACTTCACTTGTCTCCCGCAGACTGGTCTACAGAGAATACGCCACTGCAGAGCGGAGACATTGATTTAATGCCTTGGGCTTGTACACAGAAAATATCAATCGACCGACAGCGATAAGGCAGCGGGTTTCGCATATCAGCTGAGGAGCACAGACCGTGTGTAATGGAAATATTCGGGGCGTGGGTAATAAAAGGGTTTAAGCGGACCCGACGCGGCTCCAAACCTCTCATAGATAAGGAGCGGAGCCTGTCACGGATCCAGCGTGTGCCCCTTCGCCACTCGCCATCAAGATTATGTCCTTTTCCTTTCTTCTCGTAGGCAAATGGTGGGCAACGATCCACTGCCATAACAGTGATGCGGTTCCTGTTAAAAATGCGGGTCCCCGCCGCAGAGAGCACAGCTTTCTGTGCTCCCTTTAAGAGTTGGAAGTCAACAGTGGGGGAGAAGAGTCCCCTGTTTTCTGCCCCGCTGCTGCTTTAATCCTCTCCTCGAGAAGCCCCCAGCCACAGTGCAAAATATAAACTAAAAGTAGGCGCCATAGGAAAGAGGGTGCACACACAGCCCCCCCCTCCCCGCCCCGCTGCATGTCGAGGGAAGCTTACGAGCATCTCCTTCCAGCCGGACCGCTCGCTGGGTTCCAGGAGGGACGGAGCTGGCGGCTGCGGGGGCTTGAGCCCGTGTGGGAGGTGGTAGTGGTGGTGTCTCAGCCCCGCGTCCGAGACACAGGCAAAGCAGGACCCCGCCAGCCCGCGGGCCCCGGCCGTCACCGCAATTTATAGGGGAACTTCGCCTTTTCCTACACGGCAATTATCTCCGACCGGCCACGTGCGAGCGAGGGAAAACGGCTCATTTAACGTCATTAAACACAAGCGGGGAGTAATTCAGGGCGGCGGGGGATCCCTGTAAAGATTTACGCGGAGTTTGGGCGGTGAGGAGGCCCCCGGCCCGGGGCGGGGGTGGATGTGGGGGGGTGTCGGGCTCGTTTGCAGCCGGGGGAGAGCAGCCGCGGCGGATCCTGCCCCGGCACAGCGGGACCCTTCTCTGCCTCGGGGTCCGGCGGTCCTGAGCCCCCCGGCAAGGGGGGCAGGATGAGGCCCTCGCCTGGGGCACCTCCTCGGAGCACCTGCGAACAGCACTTTCCCTCTGGAGAAGGGAAGAGTGGATGGAATAAAAACAACTTCAGCCGCTCAAATCAGGGTGGGGAGAAATAAAATCACGAGTACGTCCCGGGTTGTTTTCTGAGTGCGAATGGACAACACTGAGATCTCCATCGGCAAACAATCGGAGGGTGTACATTTATTGGAAGGGATTAATTTGAAATATTCGTGACTGAAAGATGAGAAAAAATATCGCCCGGTCAGTTTTTCCCTCTGAAACTTCGTCGTGTCAATAAAATATAAGTAAATCGTAAAAAAGAACGGCGCGAGAAAACACTTCAGCCGTTGGCATAGCCTCAAAAATTGTTTTGAAATGTTGAGTAGATATTGAGTACTTGAATGGTTACTGGTTCGTCAACAAAAACCCGAAATAAATGAATTCCCTTGCTGTAACGCCAACTAGCCTTTAAAAGAGCAATTGACTCGGTTTTAATTTTACAGCGATATTGTAGATAAAACACTTGATTGCGATAACAGTGCACCTTGTATTATTTCTTTTCTGTTATGATAAAACGGGATCTAGGCATATTTGTGTGAGTATATGTGATTAATCATTCTGAAAAAAAGATTGAAAAAGCAGAGAGTCAATAAATATGTACTTTTCGTGTGCATTTTCGTGACGATTTTAATTCGTGAAGAAACAAATTACCCTCATATAAACATGGGCTAGAAGGTTCTCTCAGGAGGCATCTAGATGCATATACTGTATATATTAACGTATACATAATTAATATGTATTTGTTTCCAGGGGAGACAAGTGGAAATATACACAACACACAATGACCAGGCGAAAATCGCACCACAATAGTGCACAGAGAGTGACCGGGGTACGGAATGTACACGTAGGTCCTCGCAAAACTCCCACGCTGCAATATTGTGTTAGGAAATATAGGAGAATGGTTAATAGCTAAAATAAAAATGCAATTAGTTTGATTATTTAAATGTCAAGGGCGGTGCTGCAAAATGGGTCATTTTTTTCCCCTTAATGCAAACCCAGGCTTCTCAGCTACCAGCAAAGGCAGAGTAATAACTAAGAAAACAGATTGTACATTTTCTGCGATTTGCAGTGTCGAAAGGTCTTTTTCAGCGGGAGAAAATAATTGAGGGAAGAGAAGA